TGACAGCAACAACAACAACAACAACAAGAATAAAATAACATCGGTGGCATCTCTTCGGAGAAGATTTAGGGAGGTTGGACTGCCTCACCCGCTACCCAAGGGAGGCGGTGGCCCTGGCGAATAGCACACTCTTCGGGGCTCCGAACATTTCGAACAGATAGGCTACCACACACACACAACAACAACAACAAACAAGCAAACAAACAAACAAATCTCCCCAAAACCAAAACCTACGATACAAACGAAAAACAAAACCCCAGCTTCTGAATAAGAAAAAAAACCACACAGACCTCCATCTCCGCCACAGTCCTCGTTCGCTGATTTAGGGTAGTGGATCGTCTTGCAGTTCGTGAACAGTCCCATGTGAGACTCAACCTTGAGGTTTGCCGGTGGGGGCATGGGGATCCGAAACTCGGCGGACAACCAGTACGGGCTCGCCATCCCGACCGTATACACCCCGGCCGAGGCGAGAGTGAGGACCACGATGAGTTTGAACAACGATGAAGGTGAGCCTTCTCCCATGGTGATTTGGTTTTCGGTTTTTTGGTTTATTGCTTTTTTGTGTGCTTTTTAAAATTGGTTTTTGTTTTTTTCTATTGGAGATCACGTAAGCTACTCTGCTATGTGAAGTTCGATGGTATCTTTTTAGCTCTTTTCACTGTCTTGAAAGATGAAACGCAACACTGTTCACAGAATGGCTGTAACCACACGAGTAATAACTGACTCAGATGGATTTTCCTCGATGAATATTTTTTTTCGAGTTGGTAGTTGTATGTAGCCTACTATGACTCTCTGTTCTCAAAATTCTGGAGGTGTAACTTGTCTGTTCTATTTTTCCCCTTCTGGTCTCAGGACTGAACAAACTCGACGTTCTGTAATTTTTTCAAGCAGAGCGAACTCTAGCACAATGAAGTTTCAGCAGGCCTGTGAAGTTTCAGTTACGACTATTTACCAAAAAAAAGTCGTGTGGCTATGTGAGTCCTTTTAAAGTTGCGTACAAGGATGTCACTGTAAGCCAACAGCAAACACTGAGTAACAAGAATAAAACGACTATTGAGAAGTATTTGAAACAGTGCCAAGCGAGGTTAGTTTTATAGTCTCCGGAAGTACAGAGCTGTATGCCCCTTGCACAGAAGTCGCTATGTAGACGCTCTAGTAGTACGGTAGGTCGTAAGCGTCTGTCCTTCAGGATGATCAAGGGCGATAACTCTCGAGCACAATCTCAAGGCCCTCGAAGATGGAGTGATCTAGCCCGTCCGTGTCCTTTGGAGTAGCTGGGAAAGAGAGAAAGTTACAGATAAGAGTTACCAAGTGCTTGCAAGGTGAACTGATATTACATACCTCACCTTACACAATAATGCCTCATTCATTCATTCAGTCATTGTGTAGGTTTAATGACCTTTTTGACACTGTACGTCAATCACGCCAGGACATGTACTAGCGGTCGGAGAGCTTCTTGAACAGGTCATTAAAAGTACGAATGGTATGGATCTAACGCCACTTTAAACATCGTAGGCGTGAGACAGGCAGCGTTTCTGAACTCAACATCCATCTGCGGTAGAACCGATAGAATGGGATAACTGCCTAGAACCTAACATAGTCCAAGTTCTAGAAAGCCCCATCAGAAAAGCGAGCCAGGGTCTTCTACTTCTGTGTCATGGTCCAACATGTCACAACAAAGCAATTGGCGCGCCTGAATGCAAGAGGCTCAGCACACTTTGTGGGATTTTGGTTATAAGCAGCTTTAAGAATTTGTTGCGGCCAAAACCTTTTCTTGAGTGTGTGTGTGTGTGTGTGTGTGTGTGTGTGTATG